ATTTTTATAACATAACATTTATAACATATTATATTATTTTTATATTATAACATTTTTAACATATTATATTATTTTTATAACATAACATTTATAACATATTATATTATTTTTATAACATTTATAACATATTATATTATTTTTATAAGATAACATTTATAACATATTATATTGTTTTTATAACATAACATTTATAACATATTATATCGTTTTTATATTATAACATTTATAACATATTATATTATTTTTATAACACATTATATTATTTTTATAACACATTATATTATTTTTATAACATAACATTTATAACATATATTATTTTTATAACATATTATAACATTTATAACATATTATATTGTTTTTATAACATAACCTTTATAACATATTATATTATTTTCATAACATAACATTTTTAACATATTATATTATTTTTATAACATAACACTTATAACATATTATATTGTTTTTATAACATATAACATTTATAACATATTATATTATTTTTATAACATAACATATTATATTATTTTTATAATATAACATTTATAACATATTATATTATTTTTATAACATATTATAACATTTATAACATATTATATCGTTTTTATAACATGACATTTATAACATATTATATTATTTTTATAGCATGACATTTATAACATATTATATTATTTTTATAACATTTATAACATATTATATTATTTTTATAACATAACATTTATAACATATATTATTTTTGTAACATGACATTTATAACATATTATATTGTTTTTATAACATATTATAACCTTTATAACATATTGTTTTTATAACATAACATTTCTAACATATTATATTATTTTTATAACATATTATAACATTTTTAACATATATTATTTTTATAACATAACATTTATAACATATTACATTATTTTTATAACATAGCATTTATAACATATTATATTATTTTTATAACATACTATATTCTGTCTCTATTGCTGATTTAATAATGAAATCCAACAATAATGCAATAATAATTTAATCATGAAATCCTTGCCTGTTGAATCCTTTTCCATTTATTAATCACTATTTTATATTACCTCACTAAAGGAATGAGTGCCTCTGTAACAACACCAATGACTTAAAACAAAAAAAAAGAATTAAAACAAAACCACAACATTTAAAAAAAAATCAACCTGAGCTTTACATTCAAATCAAAGTTGTGAAAGTCTCACCCTGAGCAGGCACAACCTGTAAAGGAAAAACCTGAGAGGTTTTATTTAAAATCCACCAACTCTGGACACGAGGCAGAGCAGAAACTGAAAGGTTTGAGTGCTGGAACATTGAAATATTTTTATTTTCTCACAGCAGAGCTGTGGCAGCAACACCTCCAGCGTGGGTTTCCTGTGCCTGCAGCAGCTCTGGGCTCTCTCTACCCCAGGGCTGCACAATTTCTCTCCATTTCTCATTTTTGGAGCTTGCAGGACCTGCAGAGAGCTGGGCTGGGGGAGGAGAATTCCTCTCAATGAGCTCAGCTCAAACCTTGTTCTGAGGGCTCTGAGGAACCAGAGTGACCCCAGTGGGTGCTGGGTTTGTGGGGATTTTCCTGCTCTGAGGGGAAAATGGGAAGGGATGAGAAATATTTCCCATTTTCCCTTGGTTTGTGGGGACACCCTGGAGTGGGAGCCCCAAAACCCCCAAGGAGGAGCTGCAGCTTCAACCTCAGGCTCTGTTTGAGGATTTTCCCTCCTGCTTTAACCTGTGTGGGATTTCCTCCTCAAACCTTGAACCTTGCTCTGCTCTGAGAAACCCAGATTGTCTTGAGTGATACCCCAGCTGGGTTTGTGGGATTTTCCTGCTCTGAGGAGAAAATGGGAGGGGATAAGAAATATTTCCCATTTCCCCTTGCTTTGTGGGGACATCCAGAGTCAGACCCTGGAGCAGGAGCCCCCGAAAACCCCAGGGAGTTTGTGGAGCCCCCAAAAACCCCTGGGGAGGAGCTGGAGCTCTGTTTGAGGTTTTTCCCTCCTGCCTTAATTTCTTGTAATTGAGATTTCCTCCTCAAACCTTGCCCAGATTGTCTCCAGTGATACCCCAGCTGGGTTCCTGCTCTGGTGCAAAAATGGGAAGGGATGAGAAATATTTCCCATTTTCCCTTGGTTTGTGGGGACATCCAGAGTCAGACCCTGGAGCAGGAGCCCCCCAAAACCCCAGGGAGGATCTGAATCTCCCCCTCAGGCTCTGAGGATTTTCCCTCCTACCTTAATTTCTTGTAATTGGGATTTCCTCCTGTGTGGGATTTCCTCCTCAAACCTTGCTCTGCTCTGAGAAACCCAGATTGTCTCGAGTGATACCCCAGCTGGATTTGTGGGATTTTCCTGCTCTGAGGAAAAAGTGGGAATGGATGAGAAATATTTCCCATTTTCCCTTGGTTTGTGGGGACATCCAGAGTCAGACCCTGGAGCTGGAGCCCCCCAAGACTCCAGGTGTTTGTGGAGCCCCCAAAAACCCCAGGGAGGAGCTGGAGCTCTGTTTGAGGATTTTCCCTCCTGCCTTAACCTGTGTGGGATTTCCTCCTCAAACCTTGCTCTGCTCTGAGAAACCCAGATTGTCTCAGTGTGACCCCAGCTGGGTTTGTGGGGATTTTCCTGCTCTGAGG